GTCCCAAGGCATTTCATAAAGATATTATTAGCTAGGGAAAGGGCAGTTCCACTCAAGGACAAAGGAAGAAATTTATGTTTGGAGCCAGAGGAAGTGGGTGAGATCCTTAATGGGTACTTTGCATTAGTATTCACCAAGGAGAAGGACATGAATGATGGTAAGTTTAGGGAGAGGTTTGTGGATATTCTATGCATATCGATATTAAGTAATTCATGGTGTTGCGTATCTTGGAAAACATTAAGGCAGATAGCTCCAGGGCCTGATAGAATCTATCCCAGGTTATTGAGGGAGGCAAGGAAGGAGATTGCTGGGGCCTTAGCAGAGGTCTTTGTATTCTCTTTAGCCACAGGCGAGGTCTGACATTAGAAGATAGCCAATGTTCTTTCTTTAAGAAGGCCAACATGGATAATCCAGGAAACTATAGGCCAATGAGTCTTACATTCATAGTAGGGATATCACTGGAGAAGATTCTTAGGGACAAGATTTACTTGCACTTGGAAAAGAATGGAATTATTGGGGACTTTCAGCATGGCTTTGTGCAGGGGAGGTCTTGTCTCACAAATTTGATTGACATTTTTGAGGAAGTGATGAAAGTAATTTGTGAAGGTAGGGCAGTTGTCTACGTGGACTTGACCAAAGCATTTGACTAGGTCCCTCATGATAGACTGGTCCAGAAGATTTAGTCACATGTGGTCCGTGGTGAGGTGGTAATTGGTTTGGTCATACATGACAGAGGTGGAGGGTTTTTTTTCTGACTGGAGGTCTGTGACTAGTGGTGTTCCGCAAGGATCAATGCTGGAACGTCTGTTGTTTCTAATTTATATAAATGATTTGGACGAAAATGTAGGTGGTCTGATTAATTAGTTTGCAGAGAACATGAAAATTGGTGGAGTTCTGGATATTGAGGGAGGTTGTCAAAGGATACAGCAGGATATAGGTCAGTTGGAAAGTTAGTCAGAGAAATGGCAGATGGAGTTGTGAAATGATGCATCTTGGGAGTCAAATACTACAGGAATGTATACGATAAATTTCAGGACTCTTGGGAGCACTGATATACAGAGGGATCTTGGGATGCAAGTTCATATCTCCTTGAGAGTAGGTACACATTTGGATAAGTTGGTAAAGAAAGTATATGACATGTTTGCCTTCATCGGCTGGCCATTGAGTATAAAGTTGGCAAGTCACGTTGCAGCTGTGTAAAACTTTAGCTAGGCTACATTTGGAGTACTGTATACAGTTCTGTTGGCCACACTATAGGAAGGATGTGGAGGCTTTGGAGAGGGTGCAAATGAGGTTTACCAGAACGTTGCCCCGATTGAAATATATTAGCTGTAAGGAGAGGTTGGGCAAACTTGGTTTGGTTTTGCTGGAGCATTGGCGGCTGAAGGGCGACCTGATAGAAGTGTATAAAATTATAACAGGCGTGGATAGGGTGGATAGTTGGAGTCTTTTACCCAGGGTGGAAATGTCAAATACTAGGGATAATAGGTTTAAAGTGAGAGCGTGAAGTTTAAAAGAGATAAGCAAGGCACTTCCGCATACCCGGAAACTGCTGTTACTGGTGCAACTGCAGCCCCCGGAAAGCAGACAGTCCAGCTCATGGTCAACACAGAGACCCAGAGTGACTTACAGTAAATAGAGAGACTCAGAGCTACAACAAATAGAGTTTCATAGTAAATAGAAAGACCCAGTGTAAATTGAAAGAACCAGGGATACCTACAGTAAATAGTCAGAGCCACAGTCAATATAGAGACTCAGAAATAGCCACATTAAATTGAGAGACCCAGAGATGTGCGCACAATTTACAGAGACCCTCCGAAATAGAGAGACCCAGAATAATTAGACAGAGCCACAATAAATGCTGCCTGAGGAGGTGGGAGAAGCAAATACAACAGCAATGTTTAAGTGGCATTTAGATAGACATATGAAAAGGAAGGCAATGGGAGGATACAGACCACGTACAGGCAGATGGGATTAGTTTAAAATGGCATGATGGTATCACTGATATGGTGGGCCAAAGGACCTATTCCTGTCATGTACTGTTCTGTGTTCTGCTACTCTTCTGTAGGAATGGGTGACAGGGGTCAACAGAGAAGGTTTACATCTCTCTTGCTCCCTCCACAGAGGTCACCTGATCTTCAGAGCTACCACAGCACTCTGTTGTCAACCATGCAATGAAACTGGTTATCTTTAATTATCCCTGGTTACTTCTGGTTACCTGTGCACATCTCAAGCTATCCACAGTTAATTCTGATTATCTCTAGTTACCTGTGCTTACCTCTAGTTGTATCTGGTTACTCATAATAAAGAACAAAGAAAATTACAGCACAGGAACAAGCCCTTCGGCCCTCCAAGCCTGTGCCGATCCAGATCCTCTATCTAAACCTGACGCCTATTTTCCAAGGATCTTATCCCTCTGCTCCCTGTCCATTCATGTATCTGTCTAGATACATCTCAAATGACGCTATCGTGCCTGCCTCTACCACCTCCGCTGGCAACGCGTTCCAGGAACCCACCACCCTCTGTGTAAAGAACTTTCCACGCATGTCTCCCTTAAACTTTTCCCCTCTCACCTTGAAATCGTGACTCCTAGTAATTGAGTCCCCCACTCTGGGAAAAAGCTTCTTGCTATCCACCCTGTCTATACCTCTCATGATTTTGTAGACCTCAATCAGGTCGCCCCCTCAAACTCCGTCTTTCTAATGTAAATAATCCTAATCTAATCAACCTTTCTTCATAGCTAGCATCCTCCATACCAGGCAACATCCTGGTGAACCTCCTCTGCACCCTCTCCAAAGCATCCACATCCTTTTGGTAATGTGGCAACCAGAACTGTAAGCAGTATTCCAAATGTGGTCGAACCAAAGTCCTATACAACTGTAACATGACCTGCCAACTCTTGTACTCAACACCCCATCCGATGAATGAAAGCATGCCGTAGGCCTTCTTGACCAATCTATCGACCAACGTTGCCACCTTCAGGGTAGAATGGACCTGAACACCCAGATCTCTCTGTGCATCAATTTTCCCCAGGGCTTTTCCATTTACCGTATAGTTCGCTCTTGAATTGGATCTTCCAAAATGCATCACCTCGCATTTGCCTGGATTGAACTCCATCTGCCATTTCTCCGCCCCACTCTCCAACCTATCTATATTCTGCTGCATTCTCCGACAGTCCCCTTTACTATCTGCTATTCCACCAATCTTAATGTCATCTGCAAACTTGCTAATCAGACCATCTATGTATATCACAAACAACAGTGGTCCCATCACGGATCCCTGTGGAACACCACTGGTCACAGTTCTCCATTTTGAGAAACTCTCTTCCACTACAACCCTCTGTCTCCTGTTGCCCAGCCAGTTCTCTATCCATCTAGCTTGTACACCTTGGACTCCATGCAGCTTCACTTTCTCCATCAGCCTACCATGGGGAACCTTATCAAATGCCTTACTGAAGTCCATGTATATGACATCTACAGCCCTTCCCTCATCTATCAACTTTGTCACTTCCTCAAAGAATTCTATCACGTTGGTAAGACACGACCTTCCCTGCACAAAACTATGCTGCCTATCACTAATAAGCCCATTTTCTTCCAAATGTAAATAGATCTTATCCCTCAGTATCTTCTCCAGCAGCTTCCCACCACTGACGTCAGGCTCATCGGTCTATAATTCCCTGGATTATCCTTGCTACCCTTCTTAAACAAGGGGACAACATTAGCAATTCTCCAGTCCTCCGGGACCTCACCCATGTCAAGGATGCTACAAGGATATCTGTTAAGGCCCCAGCTAATTCCTCTCTTGCTTCCCTCAGTAACCTGGGATAGATCCCATCCGGACCTGGGGACTTGTTCACCCTAATGCCTTTATAGTTATTTCTTGTTACATGCAGTTATCTTTATTGATCTGTTATCTCTGGCTCTCTGTGGTTATTTCTAGTTAGAGGTGATTTATCTCCAATTACTTGTAGCTACCTTTTGTTATGCAGATTTTGATTCCCTATGGTTCTCTGGTTATCTCCAGCAATGGTTTTCTCCGTATACCTGTTATCTCTGAATCACTCTACTTACAAGTGGTTATTTCTGCCTATCTCTAATTATGTGAGGGTCTGTCTGGTCTCTTTATTTACTGCGGGTTTCTGTATTTACTCCGGGTTTCTCTGGACTCTGATTTACTGTGGGTCCCGCTGAGTCCCTTCATGTCCTGTAGATTTCTCTGGGTCTTTCTAATTACTTTTTTTTTCCTATTCATTTGTGGGATGTGGGTGTCACTGGCTAGCCAATATTTCTTGCCTATCCCTCATCGCCCTTGAGAATGTGGTGGTGAGCTACCTTCTCGAACCACTGCAGTCCACCTGCTGTAGGTTGACCCACAATGCCATTAGGGAGGCAATTCCAGGATTTTGACCCAGCGACAGTGAAGGAACAGCGATATATTTCCAAGTCAGGATGGTGAGTGCCTTGGAGGGGAACTTGGAGGTGGTGGTGTTCCCGTATGTCTGCTGTCCTTGTCCTTCTAGATGGAAGTGGTCGTGGGTTTGGAAGGTGCTATCTGAGGATCTTTGGTGAATTTCTGCAGTGCAGCTTGTAGATAGTACACACTGCTGCTACTGAGCGTCGCTGGTGGAGGGAGTGGATGCTTGCGAATGTACTGCCAAACATGCGTGCTGATTTGTCTTGGACGGTGTCAAGCTTCTTGCCTGCACTCATCCAGGCAAATGGGGAGTATCCCATCAAACTCCTGACTTGTGCCTTACTATAACTACCTCTGGCTCTATTTCCTGTGGGTAACTCTTATTCTCTATTTATTGTGGGTCTCTGGTTCTGTCTAATTATTCTGCGTCTCTCTATTTAGGAGGATATCTCTAAATTGCGCGCACATTTCTGGGTCTCTATATTGACTGTTGTATCTCTGAGTTTGTCTGGATCTCCGCGTTGACCGTAAACACGACTCTCTCTTTTCCAGGGCCCCTGTTGCCCTGGAAACGGCAGTTTCCGGGTCATGCGGAAATGATGCAGGAGTAGCTGCGCTAGAGGACAGTCAGGTTCTCTTCTTTCTTTTCTCCTCGAGATACAATGAGAGACTGACCCTTCCCAAGACAGAGCAGAGAGGGAGAGAGATAGCCTGCCACCCGCTGAGGGAAATTCTCTGCACGGAGACAAGTCTGACAGGGGGGTAGGGGTTAGGAGCGCAGTCCCGGGAGGTCCCTCCTAGGCCCCGGCCCCCACAAGCCTCACTGCCGGGAGGGTGCACATTTTTTATGTGTTTCAGGTTTGCATCACTCTCACAAGGTTAAGTCAGCGCATCTCTAGGATTCTCGTTGCGATAACTGACTTGACTGCGAGGCGTCCAGACCCGAAACGTCAGCTTTCCTGCTCCTCTGATGCTGCCTGGCCTGCTGTGTTTATCCAGCTCCACACCTTGTTATGTCAGACTCTAGCATCGGCAGTTCCTACTATCTCTGACTTGAGTGCGAAATGCCCTGAGGAGACTAACCACTGAGTTGCACCTGCCAGGTAAACACTGCATTCAAACCTGCCATTGCCTGGCTGGCGAACTCTGTTTGATTATTTCATTGGCATTTACTCCTTTCAAAGTTAGAACTGGCGAAGGTCGGGAGATGTCCAACCTAAACTGGAAACCTTTTGTCTATGGAGGCCTGGCTTCTGTCACTGCTGAGTTTGGTAAGTGTATACTTTCACAATCTTGTAATCCTTCTTCAGCTACCTCCATGTTCGTAGTTGCTAACCAGTCAGCCTATCCCAATGAGATATTAGATGCAGAGATAGTAGGAACTGCAGATGCTGGTGAATCCGAGACAACAAGGTGCAGGGCTGGATGATCACAGCAGGTCAAGCAGCATCATAGGAGCAGAGAGGCTGACGTTTCGGGCCGAGACCCTTCATCAGAAAAGGGGGAGGGGAAGGGGGTTCTGAAATAAATAGGGAGAGAGTGGGAGGTGGATAGAAGATGGATAGAGGAGAGGATAGGTGGAGAGGAAACAAACAGGTCGAAGAGGTGGGAATGGGGCCAGTAAAGGTGAGTGTAGGTGGGGAGTTAGGGAGGGGATAGGTCAGTCCAGGGAGGATGGACAGGTCAAGGGGGCGGGATGAGGTTAGTTGGTAGGAGATGGAGGTGTGGCTTGAGGTGGGAGGAGGGGATAGGTGGGAGGAAGAACAGGTTAGGGAGGCAGGGACGAGCTGGACTGGTTTTGGGATGCGGTAGGGGGAGGGGAGATTTTGAAACTTCTGAAATCCACATTGATACCATTGGGCTGCAGGGTTCCCAAGCGGAATATGAGTTGCTGTTCCTGCAACCTTTGGGTGGCATCGTTGTGGCATTGCAGGAGGCCCAGGATGGACGTGTCATCTGAGGAATGGGAGGGGGAGTTGAAATGGTTCGTGACTGGGAGGTGCAGTTGTTTATTGTGAACCGAGCGTAGGTGTTCTGCAAAGCGGTCCCCGAGCCTCCGCTTGGTTTCCCCAACGTAGAGGAAGCCACACCGGGTACAGCGGATGCAGTATACCACATTGGCAGATGTGCAGGTGAACATCTGCTTGATGTGGAAAGTCTTCTTGGGGCCTGGGATGGGGGTGAGGGAGGAGGTATGGGGGCAGGTGTAGCACTTCCTGCGGTTGCAGGGAAAAGTGCCAGGTGTGGTGGAGCTGGAGGGGAGTATGGAGTGGACAAGGGAGTCACGGAGAGAGTGGTCCCTCCGGAAAGCAGATAGGGGTGGGGAGGGAAAGATGTCTTTGGTGGTGGGGTCGGATTGCAGATGGTGGAAGTGTCGGAGGATGATGCGTTGGATCCGGAGGTTGGTGGAGTGGTACGTGAGGACGAGGGGCATTTTTTTTGGTTCTTATTGCGTGGACAGGGTGTGAGGGATGAGTTGCGGGAGATGTGGGAGACACGGTTGAGGGCGTTCTCGACCACTGAGGGGGGGGGAAGTTATGGTCCTTGAAAAACGAGGATAACTGAGATGTACGGGAGTGGAATGCCTCATCCTGGGAGCAGATGCGGCGGAGGCGAAGGAATTGGGAATAGGGGATAACATTTTTGCAGGAAGGTGGGTGGGAGGAGGAGTATTCTAGGTAGCTGTGGGAGTCAGTGGGCTTGAAATGAATATCGGTGTCTAGGTGGTTGCCCGATATGGAGACAGAGAGGTCCAGGAATGGGAGAGAGGTGTTAGAGATGGTCCAGGTAAACTTAAGGTTGGGGTGGAAGGTGTTAGTGAAGTGGATGAACTGTTCGAGCTCCTCATGGGAGCTCGAGGCGGCGCCGATACAGTCATCAATGTAATGGAGGAAGAGGTGGGGTTTAGGGCCGGTGTAGGTACGGAAGAGGGATTGTTCCACGTAACTCCGTGACTCCCTTGTCCGCTGCACACACCCCTCCAGCTCCACCACACCTGGCACTTTTCCCTGCAACCGCAGGAAGTGCTACACCTGCCCCCATACCTCCTCCCTCACCCCCATCCCAGGCCCCAAGAAGACTTTCCACATCAAGCAGATGTTCACCTGCACATCTGCCAATGTGGTATACTGCATCCGCTGTACCCGGTGTGGCTACCTCTACGTTGGGGAAACCAAACGGAGGCTCGGGGACCGCTTTGCAGAACACCTACGCTCGGTTCGCAACAAACAACTGCACCTCCCAGTCGCGAACCATTTCAACTCCCCCTCCCATTCCTCAGACGACATGTCCATCCTGGGCCTCCTGCAGTGCCACAACGATGCCACCCGAAGGTTGCAGGAACAGCAACTCATATTCCGCTTGGGAACCCTGCAGCCCAATGGTATCAATGTGGATTTCACAAGTTTCAAAATCTCCCCTCCCCCTACCGCATCCCAAAACCAGTCCAGCTCGTCCCTGCCTCCCTAATCTGTTCTTCCTCCCACCTATCCCCTCCTCCCACCTCAAGCCACACCTCCATCTCCTACCGACTAACCTCATCCCGCCCCCTTGACCTGTCCGTCCTCCCTGGACTGACCTATCCCCTCCCTAACTCCCCACCTACACTCACCTTTACTGGCCCCATCCCCACCTCTTCGACCTGTTTGTTTCCTCTCCACTTATCCTCTCCTCTATCCATCTTCTATCCGCCTCCCACTCTCTCCCTATTTATTTCAGAACCCCCTTCCCCTCCCCTCCCCCTTTTCTGATGAAGGGTCTCGGCCCGAAACGTCAGCCTCTCTGCTCCTATGATGCTGCTTGACCTGCTGTGTTCATCCAGCCCTGCACCTTGTTGTCTCAGATATTAGATGCAGGCATGAGTACAGGCGGAACATGTGCTCACTGAACAGTGAAATACACATTAAGACGACAGCCTTCATTTTGAATGGAGCACCAGGAAAAGGCCTAAAAGCTCGTTGATTGTGGTCTGCCATTCAATAAATAGAACATAGAACAATTTAACACAGGGACGGACATTTCAACCCCTGATGTTGTGCCAAACATGACACCAAATTAAACTAATCCCTTTCGCCTGCCTTTGGTCCATATCCCTCTATTTGTTGCATATTGATGTGCTTACCTAAAATTCCTTTATATGTCCCTGTTGTATCTGCCTGCACCACCACCCCTGGAAGCACGTTCCAGACACCTACCACTCTTTGTGGAAAAATACTTGCTTCTCATCTCCTTTGAATTTTCCTCCTCTTACCTTAAATGCATGCCCATAGTATTAGACATTTCAACTCTGGGAAAAAGATTCTGACCATCATCCCTATTTATGCATTTCATAATTTTATAGACTTCTATCAAGTCTCCCCTTAGTTTCTGTCATGCTGGTAAATCTTCTCTGCACCCTCTCCAAAGCCTCCACATTGTTTCTAGTTCTGAAGATGGGTCACCAGACCTGAAACATTAACTTTGTTTTTTTCATTCACAGATGCTGCCAGACCTGCTGAGCTTTTCCAACAAATTTGTTTTTGTTCATTGTTCCGATAATGTGGCACCAGAACTGAGCGTAATACTCTTAAAAACTGTGGCCTAACTAAAGTCTTATAAAGCTGCAACGTGACATTCTGACTCTCTTACTCCATTTCTTGACCAATAAAAGCAAGCATGTAATACACCTTCTTTACCACCCTCTACTTGTGTGGCCACTTTCAAGGAGCTATGGACTTGAACCCCAAGATCCCTCTATGCATCAACATTGTTTACTGTCCTGCCATTAACTATACTTTTCCTTTAACATTTGATCTCCCGAAGTGCAGCACCTGACACTTACACAAATTAAACTCCATTTGGCATTTCTCCACCTATATCTGCAACTGATCTATATCCTGCTGCATCCTTTGGCAACCTTCTACACTACCCACAACTCCACCGCTCTTTTTTTGTACCATCTGCAAACTTACTAACTCACCCATCCACATTTTCATGCAAGTCATTTATATATCACAAACAGCAGAGGCCCCAGTATGGATCCTTGCAGAACACCACTGGTCACAGACCTCCAGCCAGAAAAACACCCTTTCACCACTACCCTCTGCCCTCAATGGGCAAGCCAATTCTGAATCCACACAGCCAAGTCACCATGGAGCCTAAGCATCTTAATCTTCTGGATGAGCCTCCCGTGAGGGACCTTTGTTGAAAGCCTTGCTAAAATCCATGTAGACAACATCCACTGCTCCACCCTCATCGATCACCTTTGTTACCTCCTTAAAAATTTCAATCCAGTTAGTAAGACATGACCTGCTCCACACAAAGCTATGCTGACTGTCCCTAATTAGGCAATGCTTTTCCAAATGTGCGGAAATCCTATCCCTAAGAATTCTCTCCAATAGCTTCTCAAACACCAACATGAGACTCTCGGGTCTATAGTTTCCTGGATTGTCCCTATTTCCCTTCTTGAACAGAGAAACAACAATAGCTACACAACAATCCTCCAGGACCTCTCCACTGACTAGCGAGGATGCAAAGATCTTCGTCAAGGCCCAGAAATCTCCTCTCTTACCTCTCTCAATAACCTGGGGTAGATTCCATCAGGCCCTTGGGACATATCCACCTTAATTCTCTTAATACGATCATGTCTAATTGAATACTCCAATATCTTTTACCCATCCAAGCCCTTAGCTCTGCGGGGCACTGGCAGTCAAAAATCCATACCTTAAACATACCTAATCTATAGAGGGACCACTGTGGACACCCACTCTTTGAGTATGCTTAAGTATGTACGATTACCAGTGGTGAAGAAGGCTTACAATCTTCTGAGTAAAATCATTTCTCTTCATCTTGGACCTAAGTGAGGAGGACTCCGCCCTCTTATTTTTAAATTGTGACGTGGTTCTAGAATCCTCAACCAAAAGAAACATCTTACCTGCAATTTTTTTTTAAATTCATTCATGGGATGAGGCCATCACTGGCTGGGCCAGCATTTATTGCACATCCCAATTGCCCAGAGGGCAGTTAAGAGTCAGCTACATTGTTGTGGGTCTGGAGTCACATATAGGCTGGCCCAGGAGATTTTCTTCTCTAAAGGACATTAGTGAGCCAGGTGGGTTTTTCCAACAATAATTCATGGTTCTAGTTAGACTCTTAATCCCAGATTGTTTTCTCATTGAACTCAAATTCCACCATCTGCCATGGCAGGATTTGAACCCGGGTTCCCACATCATTACCTGGGTTTCTGGATTAACTCTCCGTTGATAATCCCACTAGGCCGTTGCCTTCCCAATTT